GGACTGTTCTTTTTTGGAGCAGAAAGTGTGTTTTGAAGGAATTCTGTTTCAAGCCTGCTTTGGGCCAGAGACCCTTTGTCTGGCTGTCCCCACTCTGTCTACATGTAGAGTCAGTGACTTTGCCTTTTGTCAGGGTCCATTTCTTGCTTGGCCGGATTGTGTGTGTCGGGTGCCTCGGGAATGGCCTTCGGCGTACCAGCTTGCTAGCCCCGTGGCTCCCTTCCTAGGTGTCCTTGGTGACGCTGGAATGAGTTGGACCAAGTGGGCTCTTTTCCATCTTCCTGGGAGCTGGGACTCTGTGTGGGTGTGCACCTTCCTCACAGCCAGTCTCTTCCAGCTGATACTTCTGGGGGCTCCCAGGGGAGAGCCGCTTATAGAAGGACGGGCTTTGGGCTGTGGGGATCACTTGCCAAGGAGGCTGCCTCCCACTTAGGAGTAATTTCAGGTTGAATGATTGATTGCCTGATGACCGTCCAGAACCTAACTGCCATTTGCCTTAACCGCACGCTTGCAGACATTGTAGACATTAAGCCTGTGAACATGGAGGAACTGACGGAAGTGATCACTGCCGCGGAATTCCACCCACATCAGTGTAACGTATTTGTGTACAGCAGCAGCAAAGGAACCATCAGACTGTGTGATATGCGCTCCTCAGCCTTGTGTGACAGGCATTCCAAGTGTAAGTGGCCCCTTCTTCCTTCATAGATTCAGTCTGGCTGGGAGGGAGCTGGTCATTGAGCTGAGATCATCGTTCATTGTCCTCACGGGTACAGCATGAGCCACTGACTTTTGGGTCATCTCTGTCCCTTTAATACATATGAAATAATGGGGTGGAGGCTTTGAGCCACTCTGAGCCTGGACTTGTGCCCAGAATCTTGTGCTTAATCAGAGATAGCTGAAAACTGGGGTCAGGTTGCCAGAACTCCTTTCATTTGTGACCATTTCCAGCTACCAAGTTGAGTTCTGTTCATTTTGAAATTTAAGTGAACAGCTAATGTTTTAAGCCATTGAATTAGATGAAGCCCTGGCTGGGAAAAGCAAGATTGATTTTTAGCTGTAAGTAACCAAAAGAAATATATGCAGTGAAAACTGTATTCTTTGCACATTATTGATATTGCTGGGCTAAAATACCTTTGTTAAGTGAGCTGTTGAGGGAGAATCATTTGATTTCTAAAACTGTGGGGGAATTGGTCTTCATTTTCCATAGAATGGGTCTGCGTTACATACATGTGGGCAGAAATGATGTGATTATTGCCCTTTTTTTTCTTTTCCCATTTTCGGGGTCATAATTGAACCTAAGAAATGATAATTCATTATCACCAAATGACTGTTAGTCTATGAGAGGATACCATTGATACCATTTGTAAATGAATCGTGTCTGCAGAAGTGCTGCATCCCTCCGCAGATGGACACCCAGCCAGGATAATCTCTGCTCAGACTGTTTGGAAAGTAAATGACGCCTTGCAGGGCTTAAATGTATCCGAGTTTGTTTATGAAACTTAAGAACTAACTCAGAATCCAAGGCGGGGTGGGGAGAGCCCTGAGTGAGACACTGAAGGGGGTACTTCCCATCAGCCCAAGCAGTTGGTCTGGAGGGACTCCTTGTGGGTGTAGGCACAGCCAGCCTAAGGTTCTCCCCTGGAAGAAACTTCACGACCTTTGGGGAGAACATGAGCTCGTGGTCTTGACAAGCCATTGGTGACCAGTGATAGGAGACCTACAGAATCTTTCTCACAGTCTTTGGCTCAAGCACAGCCTAAAATCGGCGGTTGTGCAAATGTCTCTGAATCCCCAATCCGGCAGCCACTAATAGTTGAGATCAGAGAAGCCCTCGGAGGGATGTGGGCAAAACCCAGTGGCCCTGGTGTTGAATTCTGGATTTTCATTGGTCTCTTGCATAGAGGCCATAGATGTAGAGTGGGCTAGGGTTTTAGCATGCCAGACTTAGAGTCCAGATAAGGCAGGCTCACACTCCGCCTTAGACCTTTATCTTGGGCCCTCTGAATGTCTTCCCCCCCTTCCTCAGACTTCCCTACTAAGTCTTAGCCAGGCTCCCCAAGTGAAGACCCACAGATTCTTTGTTAATCTTGCCCCAACGCTCAGATGCGTTGGCCAAGGACAGCAGGCTCCTCATTGAGGGGTCTGCTCATCCCTCTGTTGGGGGGATTATGAATCTGATGTTCTAATGATTCTCTGTGCTTGGATGTGAAAGGGCCAGAGGGGCCTGGATGCCCTGTTAGAGGAGCAGAAGAGTTTTAAGTTCCATCATTTTCATTTACTCGGAATGGCAGCTGCCAGGGCAGAAGGTCTAGCTTGAAGTAAATGGTAAAAACAAAAGAAACCTTGATCACACAACGCTAGCCCAGATGCTCACTGAGGGCACCCACTGAAGGGTCCTTGAGAAAGAGCCTGTCTTCTGGCCCCTCTGCAGCCTCTCCTGACTTCAGAGTGGGCACTAAAAGCTCTTTGCTGTTTCCATTTCCAGTTTTTGAAGAGCCTGAAGATCCCAGCAGTAGGTCATTCTTTTCAGAAATCATTTCTTCAATATCTGATGTGAAGTTTAGTCACAGTGGCCGATACATGATGACGAGAGACTACCTTTCAGTTAAAGTGTGGGATCTCAACATGGAAACTAGGCCTGTGGAGACCTATCAGGTGAGTGGGGGGATTTAGGAAGCCCTTGTCTTCTTGAAGAGTTCAGCATTGTCACGTTGGACGTGCTCTCGCCTTCAGGTTCATGAATATCTCCGGAGTAAGCTTTGTTCTCTCTATGAGAATGACTGCATCTTTGACAAGTTTGAGTGCTGCTGGAACGGCTCTGATGGGTGAGTTGGACAGAGTCCCCAGGAGGGCCTCGTCCAAGCAGACAGGGAGACCCCCGGGGAAAAGCCATTTTCCTCTGTCGGGGCCAGGAAATGTGGGGGGGTCTTTGACCAAGCGACGTACCTGGCACCCTCTTCAGGAGGCCACCCGCCTGCCTCCACGTGGTCTCAGCTCAGTCAGTGCTCTGCTGGATCTTCTCAGCTCTGTTGGGGGACGAGGGCTGCCCGAGCCCAGGGCGGGGAGGTCCCTTTGGAAGGATGCCCTTGGGGAGGAGGCCGCTTGAGTCCCTTGGATAGCCTAGAAAGCACCTTCCTGTCCTGCTTCCCTGAGACAGTGACTCCTCCCCCTCTCTCCATGGGCAGAGCCTCAACCCGGATCTGGTTGAGATAGGGTACTGCTAGAGAAGGAAAGTCCCCAGTCTGGGAGAGGTGCCGAGAGCAGTGAGGGGAAAGTGACTTTGTCAGGGTCCACTGGCCGGGGTGTTCACGGCCCTGTGCTGCCTCTCAAGGACTAATTCATCATACATGTTAACAACATTCCTGACTAGTCTCTGAAGAAATCAAATATTGTATAAAAATTAGTCTGTGGTGCTAACATCCGTGCCCCTTGGATAGAATTTTAATGCATGAGAATTTGAGGCTTTGAGTCAGGATTTCCTGACTTGAACTACAGCCTGAAGGGGCCCGCTTGGGAACTCAGTGTGTGCATCAGGGCGTGGCCTAGAGGCCTGGGGACTGTCTGACTTATGAGGATCTCCCTTTCTTTTGCCCAAAAACAGTGCCCTCATGACTGGGTCATACAACAATTTCTTCAGAATGTTTGACAGAAGCACTCGGAGGGATGTTACTTTGGAAGCATCAAGAGAAAGCAGCAAACCTCGGGCCATCTTAAAGCCTCGGAAGGTGTGTACTGGGGGCAAGAGGAGGAAAGATGAGATCAGCGTGGACAGTCTGGACTTTAACAAAAAGATCCTCCACACAGCATGGCACCCCCTCCAGAACATCATTGCTGTTGCTGCCACCAACAACTTGTACATATTCCAGGACAAAGTCAACTAGAGACACATCTGGGGACGCTGTCGTACTCCTGGCTTGCAAAGCCCGGGTACTTTTCTGTTCAAAGAAAAGACATTCTCGTCCTCTCCATGAAGAACACTGATGCACTCACGTCCCTGGGTAGGTAGAGGAAAGAAGCTGGCCTGGTCTAGGTTCGGTCATTCTGCCTTCACCCAGGTGAGAAGAAGCCACGAGAAGCAAGGTTGGTGGACAGTGCTCAGTAAAGGCCTTTATTCAGAATAAATGTATTTATGTAAGTCCGAGCCTTCCTTTCCGGTTTATAGACCAAAAATCCGACATTCAAGAGAAAAGCTGTCAAAGCTCGCTCTTTTTCGCTTACTCTCTCTTTTTTCCCTCTGCTGTACTGTTTGGGCCTTTCAGAACCTATATTGTGCATCATGACAATACGAACATTCCTTCTCTGGCCTTCTTCTGGGTCTCGGTGGTTTTACCAGTGGATGCTTAGGTCGGCCTTGAGTTGGGTCCGGCAGCAGGTTTTTCATGTGTATTTACTCTCCCACTGTATTTAATCACACCTTCTGGTGTAATCACTTAATAAAAATAAGAAACTATAAAAAGTGTTTTTAAATCTGGAAGTATTGAATCAGTCTTTTTATTTTCTTTTATTGCATTATTTGAAATTGTGCAAAGTTATCCTGATGGGAAGCTATGACCAGTTTTTGTCCTGAATCACTGACAAAATGGCACTGTGTGCAGTGTTCTCCCCCCACCACAAGGCCATGGGTTGGTGTTGTTACAATTGTGTGTCATCGGGCTAGGGTGTGCTCGGCTCTTCGGCGGCAAGGAGCTGACGGGGGAGGCTGCTAACAGCCAGCAATGACCAGAGTCGCTGCTGCTCCAATACTAAAACTAGCTGGCTTTCAGACTGCCTCCAAGTTGCCACAGTTGGGGTACCTGATGTCCTCTGCTGTTCTTTTTTCCTTTTTAACCTTTTTCGTACTTGGGGGGTGGGGGAAGGGAGGGATGTGCCGTTTAAAATATTGTTACAGTTACCTGCATGCTGAATTTCCTATTGCAGTTCAAGCCAGCGTATAGAATTTGTTACGCCCAAACCATCAGTATGAATGTGTAAAGATTTTATCAGCAGAGTGAAATGTCTGGCGTGAGGAGTCAGGATGTCCCAAGACTAATGCGGGTATAAAAGTCCATAGGTGATGGGTGCTATGGCAATACTGCTGGGCAGTTAAGGAATAAACCAGAGTCACAACTTGGTGCCTCCCACAGTAGGGGCGGGAGCTGCAAATCCTGCTCGTGGCGGTGCAGATAAACATGCGTCTAGCCCTCGTTTTGTGTCCCCTGCTCTGTCCATTGAGCCCCCTAAGCTGTGAATGAACTGAGAGTCTAAGAGGAGTTCTTACTCCCGTATCTCCTGGCTGGGGCACCGTTCCCAAGTCTGAGAGGGCAGAACAGAGCTGTGGAAGCAGCGGGGCCTACCTTGTTCCTAACACTTCAGTACTAACACAATGGGATTGTATATACTTGTTCAACTATTTTGATCAAAAAGTTTAATAAATTTTAAATGTTTAACTGAATCTTCGCTGTGTATGTGGACATTTTTCCATTATTTAAAAGGTGAATTCTGTGAAATTAGCCAACAGTGAATCTTAAAAAGCAGCATTCTACTCGGGGAGGGGGACCCATCAACAGTGGGTTGGGTATTTCGTCTCATTTTGTGAAGTTGTAGACAGCCAGCCTGCTTGGCCAGGTCGTTGGCCTGTGGTTGTTTCAGGGGGATCAGCAAGAAATACTGTGAGGCTTAATTGGTGTCTAGTTGGTGTGTTCATGTGTAATGAGAGACAAACCAGAATCTGTCTGTCCTTGGCAGCTATGAGGAAACAGTCTGTCGGAAAGGTGTTTATCCTTTTTTTTAGTTCAGTGAGAATCTTCCTATATTAAGAGTCTTTCTTCCATGAATGCCTCCATGACAGCTGCTTTTGTGGGGTTTCACTGGTGAGTCTTCTCTCTCTTCTAACATGGGGCAAATCCTTCCCTATTTTCTCCTTCTGGGATATCCTGACTTGGGTCTTTAATGAATCCTTCCAAAGGATCCACCCAGCAGCCTCAAGGCCCTCATCATCTGGGCCCTGAGGGTATTCAAGAACAAAAGTCCCATACAAACACACACACACACTCTCTGTCTCTCTCTTTCTTGTCCTCAGTAATCTACAGAAGGCAACTTGATGGTAAAAGAAGTCTTCCCTCATTACCTTACTGGTCAGTGTTCTCTCCCTTTAGAAATCACTTCTCGGGAGATCAAGGTATCCCACAGTACGAGGACAGCCTGTCCCAGCATTGGCATTCTTAACCTGGCATCCATGAACTTGGTGGGGTGGAGGTTAAATATATCTGGATAACTTTCCCTCTAATAACTTTTCCCCCTATGCATCTATCTTGTGTCTTTAAAAACGTTATGAGAAGAGATCCAGTATTTCAGCAGGTTGCCAGAGGGGATCTGTGGTTCAAAAAGAGGTTAAGAACTCGTGGGCCAGAGGGATAGGCACCAGTGCAGGCTGCACCTTCTCTGCAATGTGGAGGGTTACCTAGAGCAATGAGATGTCAAGTGGTTTGCCCAGGAGCAAAGAAGAGGGAGCCAGGGAGGCCTTGAACCCAGCTGTTCCCGACCTTGAGGCAGGCTGTCACAAGTTCTGAGAATCCCTCTCCCCATTACTTTGTTACCATCCCTTTAGAAGCAGATGGGACAGGCATTGAAGTGGGTGGGTATTTTGTCTGGTGATTCGTGTTGGAGGTCATGGTTTGGGGCCCAGATGTGCCTCACATCCATCCTGGGAGCCTCTCCTGCTTGGAAGGACTTTGCAGGCTTTCCACTCCACTGGTCTAGCCTGGACCTTTCCACTCCACTGGTCTAGTCTAGGCCTTTCTGCTCTGCTGGGTTAGCCTGGACCTTTCCGCTCTGCTGGGTTAGCCTGGGCCTTTCTGCTCTGCTGGGTTAGCCTGGGCCTTTCCGCTCTGCTGGGCTAGCATGGGCCTTTCCACTGCACTGGGCTAGCCTGGGTCTTTCCACTCCCTGGTGGAGATTGGGATATTGCTCCTTACAAGTCATGTTGCCAGGAGCTGTTAAAATTCTAGAGAGCAGAAGTGTGATGAGATGACAGATGAGAGTGTTGTCCCCGGGCGTTTCCCTGTGCTGGCTCCTTCATCCCAGTTTTTCCTGTTCCAAGGACATTCTGAGGGCAAAAGGACTGTGTGATGGAATAGCCTCTAGGTTCTTCTCTTTCTATTAGTGTACTTGGAAACGTTTTGTTCTATTCCACTGGAAACTTAGGGAAAGATTTCTCTTCCCCCTGCCCATAAGGCTTAGCAGTTAGTAACAATTGGTTAGGTTGGTTTTCCTGTGGGATGAGGTGGTCCTCTCGGCCATGTTCTTCATCCTCTGCCTCCTGGGGAGCAGTCTGAGTGGCTCTCTCTTTGGCTTTGAGGTGTGCTTGAATGCTCTAGATCTGTGCAGGAAACGCGTTGGAAAGAAGATTGAATGGTGCCACCCGGTTTTGAAGAACTCGGCTCTTTTTGTCATTTCAACTCGACCAACCTTTATGACCTGGTCCCAGATCATGTTAGACGTGTGAAGTTTAAATTGGGGGTAGGGGGCTCAGATTCTGCCCCTGACGCTGTGGCACTGTGCTGTGGCTCTGTGGCACCAGGCAGACCTCCTGATCTCTTATTCTATCCCAAACTACTCTGTACCCCCAACTTTGACAGAACAGAGAATTTCCTCAGGTTACCTGGAGTTGCTAACACTAATCAACTCCCAGGTCTAGGCCAAAAATTAGCGTTGGGGGAGCGGAGGGGGGGTGGGGTGTGGAAAAAATCAGCTAAATAGAAAATGATGTTAACTCATCTGGAGGACTTGGGATTTGAGTGATTTACATGGAGATGTTTGGGGAGGGGTTAATCGAAGTCTGTAGGAGTGGATGAATCACTACTGACATGTGCATGACGCCTCACACCTCTTCCCCAGGGAGCTGCTTCAGTCGAGGGTAAGTGCCAGCTATTTGCCAGGTACCAGAGAGACGTACAAAAATGAAACGGCGCTTGCCCTCAGATTGCAGGCTGTCCCGCGAGGCATGTGACACGCAGGGTAACTGGATCACAGGAGTACTGACGTGTGGAGGGATCGGGAGAGCTGCCCAGGAGGTGACAGCTGAGGCAAGCCTTGCGGGCGGCTGGGAAGAACCAGTAATCTAGAGAGGTGGAGAGGGAGGGAGCCCCCAGGCACACGCACTGAGTGGAGGCGCACGGTCCTCACCGCTCCGCCAGCTTGACCGGAAGGCCATACAAAATGCCACCATTTTGTAGCATGGAGGGGAGCCAGAGGACGGGGGTGGGGCGTCCAGTCACTTCGCGGCCGCTGATGGGCTGTTGGGGGGGAGGAAGAGCCAAGAACGGGCTGACTGGTGCTTGGTAGCCTTGAAGTCTGGACCCGGGGTGGGCCGAAGGAGCAGACACAGTTTCTGTGTTGGACGTGTTGCGACGGAAGATGCAGACAGCTCCGGGAGACGGTTTGAGGCGCGTCGGTAGGCTGGGCGTTTTTGCTTGGCAGTGAACGTTAGGCCTGGCGAGAGACCTAACATCCCCGGTTAATGGGGGGGGGGGAGAGCGCCGAAGACGGATGATGAATGCAGCCAGACAGAAGTAGCGCTGGGAGTCGCCACTTCTCTGAAATCCTCGGGCTTATTGCTCGGTGTCTCTCGGCCTGTTTGCTCATCTGTAAAATGTCCAGCCTCCTTGTTGGGCTTGCTGCTTCCAGTCTTCTCTTATCATCTGCCCTACACACAGCAGCCGCATTGACAAGCCCCACATCCAACCAGACCCTGACCCTCCCCTGCTCCAAGAAGTTTCATTCTGCATTGCTTCTGGGTTCAAATGCAGAGTCCTCTGCTGGCCCTTGAAAGCCCTTAATAACCTGGTCCCAAACCACGTCTCCAGAAGGATTTCACATTACTCCCCTTCGAGCTCCCTAGAGATGACGTTCCAACTGAGCGTTTGCCTTCCCACCTCTCGGTGACCACTCTCGTTCCCGGAAAAGTTCCTTTTGAAGCTCACCTCACACTCTGCCTCTGAGAAGCCTTCCCTGATCCCCCTTTCCTCTGTTTTTAGCATTTCCCCACCAATTATTGATATAGTAATTATCATATTTTATTTGTATTTATTATATATGTATATTATAGATTTATATGCAACATATTCGTGTTGTATTTATTACGGAATTAATAAGTATCAATACTGTCACATTACAGGCACTGTGCCAAGCATTAGGAATACAAAGGCAAAGAACCCCTGCCTTCAGCCTAGCAGGGAAGAGAACTGGGGGCATCATGAGCACCCAAGCTACAGAGGAGATAAATTGCAGGGGAAGGGCACCAGCACTGAGGAGTATCTGGAACTTGAAGGAAGCCAGAGAAGCCAAGAATCAGGCACGGGAAGGGAAAGACTTCCAGGGATGGGGGGCAGCAGTGAGAGTGCCCCTGAGAGGGAAAGGGGACCAGTGGCACTGACCTGCGGGAAGAGGCCAGGTGGTGAAGGGCTCTGAAAACCAGAGGGGATTTTACATTTGGTCCTAATAACGGGGAATAGCCTCTGGAGCTTATGGGGGGGGAGGGGCATGATCCCACCTGCACCTTAGGAAGGGAGGGGGGAGAGACCTGAGGCAGGCAAACCCACCTCTGCCCCCCCTCCCCCAGCAGCTACTGACATAGTCCAGGTGTGAGGTGACAGGGACCTGCACTGCGAGAAGGGAGAGGAGCAGTGTCAGAGGAGAGGAAGGGACATCTGTTATGGAGGAGGAAACCACCTGTTCTGCCCTAACCTCTCTGCTGACCTCCAGTCTGGCATCTCCAACTGCCTTTCAGAGATCTCGAGCTGGATGTCCGTTAGACACTTTGGATTCAACCTGTCTGAAGTTGAAGCTGTTCTTGTGTCCCGAAACCCTGGCTCCTTCCAATGTCCCTATTGCTGATGAAGGCACACAAGCACTGCTAACAGGAAGCCCGGGGAGGTGATGGAAATCCTAAGAGATGATGCTGTCAAAGTGTGCTCATTATGCGGGCAAATTTGGAAAACTCCACGGTGGCCCCGGGATTGGAAAAGATCAGGTTTTGTCTCAGTCCTAACAAAGGGCAATGCCGAGGAATGTTCAGGTTACCAAACATTTGTGCTCACGTCACCCACCAGCGAGGTTAAGATTCCGCAGGCCAGCTTCAGTAAGAGGAGAACCAAGAATGGCCAGGCGAGTAGGCTGGTTTTCACAGAGGCAGAGGAACTAGAGACCAAATTGCCCCATTCGCTGATTATGGAGAAGGGGAGGGAGCTGCAGAAAACCATCTGCTTCCGCTTCATCGACTGCACTGAAGCCTTTGACTGTGCGGGTCACCATGGACTGAGACGGGAGGACCAGACCATCTTCCTTGTCTCCTGAAGAGCCTGCATGTGGGCCAAGCAGCAAAGTGAGATCCAGTCGTGGAACAGCCAGTTGGTTCAGGTTGGGGAAGAAGGAGATGAGACTGTACATTGTCCCCCTGTCTATTTAACTTCTGTGCAGAGCATATCACGTGAAATGCCAGGCAGGGTGAGTCAAAAGCCGGAATCAAGGTTGTCGGGAGAAACGCCAACAATCTCACACATACAAACAATAGCTCTCTGATGGCAGAAAGTGAAGAGGAATGAAGAAGCCTCTTGATGAGGGTGAAAGAGGACAGTGCAACAACAAAAAAAACCCCTAGACTTTGGGTGCCAAGATGGTGGCGTGAGGAAGGAGCCCTCTGAAGCCCTCCCAAATTTCTCTCCAAACACCTAGAAAACCACCTGAGAATTGGTCTAGGAGCAGGGAAGCATCTGACTAGCTCCAGGAAAGGTCTGTCTCACTGGAGTGAGGGGGAAAGAGGTCGTAGAGCAGAAGCAGCAGCCAGCCTCCCAGCAGGGGGCCTGCAGCAAGGCTCCTGGCCTGCAGCAATCCACCAATGGGGCCCCACCCTCCTGCAAACCAACAGCCCCCTAGGCAAGTGAGCAGTCAGTGCAGCTCAACAGGGCCCTACCCAGTGACCCCACCCCCAGCACAGGCCACCAGCCAGGCCTTGACCCCATTGTTGACCAGTACTGCTGACCAGTACTGAAGCCCTGCCCTGGGGCTGGCCAAGAAGCAACACCCTGCCCGTGGGACCTACTAGTAGAGAGACCCTGTTTCTATCGCAACTCAGCAGCAGGACCCCACCCCTAGAGCAGGCCAGCAGCTAAACCCCACACCCAGGGGAGGCCCCACCCCCAGTATAAGCCAGAAGGAAAGCCTCCCATCCAGAGAAAGCAAGCAGCTAAGCCCTGAAGCCCAGTGAAAGCTAGCAATGAGATCCAGAGCCCCAGCACAAAAAGCCTGGGACAGTGCAGAACCAGAACCCAACTCCAATGTAAAAACACCAAGTCACAAAAAAGGCAAGAAAAGAATGTGTGTGTGGGAGAGAGAGAGAGAGAGAGAGAGAGAGAGAGAGAGCGCTTGACTATAGAAAGTTACCATGGTGATAGAGAGGATCATGGCATAAAGTTAGAAGAGGACAGTAGTGTAAAAATGGCTACACATGAAGCCTCAAAGAAAAAATGTAATTTAGTTTCAGGCCCAAAAAGAATTCCTGGAAGAGCTTAAAAAGGATTTTAAAAAGCAAATTAGAGAAGTAGAAGAAAAATTGGAAAAGGAAAGAGTAATGCAAGAGAATCATGACAAAAAGAGTCAATAGCATAGAGAAAAGATATACAAAAATTTACCAAGGAAAATAACTCCCTAAAAAATAGAATAGGCCAAATGGAAAGGGAAGTACAAAAGCTCATCAAAGAAAATAATTCCTTAAAAGTTAGAATTGAACACATGGAAACTAATGACTATGAGACATCAAGAAATGATAAAACAAAATTTAAAAATTAAAAAGAAAATGTGAAATTTCTCATTGGAAAAATGACCTGGAAAATAGATAGGAGAGATAATATAAGAATATTGGACTATCTGAAAGCCATGGTCAAAAAAAAAGAAAGACAACATCTTTCAAGAAATTATCAAAGAAAACACCCCTGATGTATTAGAACCAGAGGGAAAAATAGAAATTGAAAGAATCCACTGATCACCACGTGGAAGAAATCTCAAAATGAAAACTCCCAGGAACATCATAGCCAAATCCAGAGATCACAGATTAAGGAGAAAGTATTGCAAGCAGCCAAAATTAGAAACAATTCAAATATCATGGAGCCATAGTCAGGATTACACAGGATTTGGCAGCTTCCACACTGAAGAACTGGAGGGCTCGGAATATGACATACCAGAAGGCAAAGGAATTAGGAATACAACCAAGAATCACCTAGCCAGCGAAATTGAATATGAACTTTCAGGGGGTGAAATGGACATTTAACAAAACAGAGAACTCTTAAGCATTTCTAATTAAAAGACCAGAGCTGAATTAAAATATGATCTCCAAATACAAGACTCAAGGGAGACATAGAAAGGTAAAAAAAGAAGCAAGAAAAAGAAAACGTAAGAAATCCAATGAGGTCAAACTGTTTATATTTCTACATTGCAAGATAACGTGTTATTCTTAAGAACTTTATTACTAATAAGAACAGTTAGGAGTATATATATATGTAGATAAAGGGTGTGGATGTAAGGTGACTTTGATGAGATGATACCCCCAAAAACAAAATGAAGGAGTGAGAAAGAAAATGGCACTGGAAGAAGGGGGGAGATGGAATGGGGTAAATTATCCCACATGAAAGAGGCATGAGGTTTAATTGACAGATTGGATGGGGGAGGGGAGGGGTGGTGAGAGAGTAAGGAGTTGAGGATGGCCTGGGTGACTGGGAGGATGGTGGTACCCTCAACAGTAATAGGAAAGTTAAGAAGAGAGGAGGGCTGCAGGAGAAAGATAATGAGTTGAGTTTTGTACGTGTACCTGTCTGTCTCTCTACGCTGACCTGGGCTGGAAAAATGACCCATTGTGGCTTTTTCTTGGATTTCTCCACCAGTATTTGGTCTGGTGCATTTTCTTTCTTTCTTTTTTCTTTCTTTTTAGTGGTATTTTATTTTTTCCAAGTATATGTAAAGACAATTTTTAACATTCTTTTTTAAATAAGATTTTCAGTTCTACATTTTTCTCCTTCTCTCCTCCCTAAGCGGTTTGATATATGTTATATATGTACAATCATGTAAAACTTATTTCCATATTAGTCATATTGTGAAAGAAGAAACAGAACAAAAGGGGGGAAGTACATAAAAAAAAATAAAGTGAAAATAATATGCTTTGATCTGCATTCAGACTCCAGTTCCTTCTCTGGATGTGGACAGCATTTTCCATCAGGAATCTTTTGGAATTGTCTCGGATCATCGTATTGCTGAAAGGAGCTAAGTCACTCACTGCTGATCATGGCACAATGTTGCTGTTACTGTGTGCAATGTTCTCCTGGTTCTCATTTTACTTTGTATCATTTCATTTATGTCTTTCCAGGTTTTTCAGAAATCTGCCTGCTCATCATTTCTTTTAGCACAATAGCATTGCATCTGGGCATCTGCTTGTTTCCAATTCATCTGGTGCATTTTCTAGATCTCTTTGGAGGGAGGGGAGGAGGGGGAAATTCACAGCTCTGCTTCCTGTTACTCTGCCATCTTGGCTCCACCTCAGGATTATGTATATAAACTTCGGGTGTCCCTCCGGGTCCTGTCTTGGTCCTGCTTCCCTTCTCCCTCTATCCTATTTTACTTGGTGATCTTATCAGCTCCCATGGATTGAATTTCCATGTCTTTACTGATGATTCACAGAGCTATAAATTTAGCCCTAACTTCTCTCCTAACCTGCAGACTAGCATCTCTAACTGGCTGTTAGACATCTTGACCTATGTCCTATGGACATTTTAAACTCATCATGTCAAATGAACTTCTTAAATTTTCTTCCGAGGCTTTCCCCTTTCTGAATTGTGCTATGGCTATTGAGGGCACAGCCATCTTTACCTAGGCTCACAACCTTGTTGCCATCCTGGACTCCCCACTCTCCCCTCCCCCCATGTCCAATCTGCTGTCCAGTACAGTACGTTCTGCTCCTCCCTTCTCTGACCCTGCCCCTACACTGGTGCACGCCTTCCTCACCTCATCATCTGGGCTATTGCAATAGCCACTGCTGGGTCTGCCTGCCTCCAGCCCATCCTTCATTCAGCTGCCTGAAGTGCAGGTTTGACCATGCCATGTCCCCACTCAGTAACCGCCTATGGCTCACTGTCATTCCAGGATCAAATATAAAATCCTCCATTTGTCATGTCATGCCTTTCCTAGCCTGGCCCCGTCCTACCATTGCTTTATACTTTATACTTTACTCTTAAGTACTCTTTGATCTAATGATCCTTGTCTCCTCGCTCTTCCCAGTGCATGGCACTCCATCTCCTAGCTTTGGGCATTTTCCATGCATGTCCCCATGCCTGGAATTCTCTCGCTCCCTATCTTCCCCTCCTGGTTGCCTTCCATTCCCACTAAAATCCTACCTTGTCCAAGGAGCTTTTCCCAAGTCCCTGTAATGTTAGTGCTTTCCTTGGAATGTGTGTGGAATATCTCCAGTTTACCCTGTGTATGTCACCTCTTCCATTAGCCCGTGGGCTCCTGCAGGGCGGAGCCCCTGGCTTTTGCCTTTCTGTGTACCCCAGCTCTCAGGATGTGCCTGTTAATTGTGCCTGCCAGCACACAGTCATGATTTTTCATTCAGCAGCACATGAAGAGGAGAGATGGGGTCCCAAGGATGAGGCTTGGCAGGGAAAACTCCACAGTATCAGGGACCCAGGGACTGGAGAGCAGACAGCAGAGAGCTGAACAGCTTCACCAAGGGCTCCAGATGGTGGACGATAGGAACGTGGAGCCACAGAAAGAATGAACCAAGGCTTGGGGACTAGTGTCATGGTGAGGATGAAGAACAGGGTTTGGGTTTGGGAGAGGTGAGATGACAAGATCACTCTCAGGTAAGTGGGTGGGGGCTAGATCAAGCATCTGACCATCTGCGAGTGGAGCTGAGGATAGTGGAAGAGGGGTCCTGACAAATGGGGGTGTTAAGGAAGTGCCAGGTGAAGGAACCGTCAATATATGATGAAGTCCTCTGCTAGAGTGCTGGAGAGAAAGACTGACCTCACTGAGGAAAAAAAGGAGGGTCCTGGCGGCTGCTCAGCAATAGCTACCAGAATTTTGATTCGATGGTAGATATGGACTGAGTGAGTCTAAAGGAAGAGGTGAAGAACTCCCCCCATGACCAGGGAGCAAGAGGTGAGAGTGAACGTGCAGCCAGCTCTGGAAAGGATGGTCATGGAGGCTGTCATTAGGAGGGAGTCAAGTCTCAGAGAGAGCCAGAAGAGGGAGGTAGACATCCAAGACAAAAGCCAGCCTGTCACTTATGGAGCATGGTGAAGGAGGGGGCATAATGAGGAGGTGGCTGGAGGGGGATGGGAAGAAGTCAGGAGAATAAGGTTGGCACAGAGACCCAATTCTGAACTACTGAATGGGGGTTGTGATTCATTGAGGAAAGGATTCAGGTGGGTTATCCACATTGCTCGGGGTTTAGCCTCAGGGTGGAGTCCTCTCAGGGTGCTGGGCAGGAGTTTGTGGCTGGAAAGCTAAAGAAGTGGGGGGAGTTGGAGGGGTCCCCCAGGCACAGGAGAAGTGGGGGGGAGTTGGAGGGGTCCCCCAGGCACAGGCTCCGGTAGAATGGCTGTATAATTAAAGTCATATTCCTTTCTGTGCCAAGGACTTTGGTGGTGAGAGCTTCCGCTTTTTGGTCTTCAGTACCTAGGGCTGAAGCCAGTGACTGACTGACCAGACGGAGGCCCTGGAGCACCTGTCTATGTTGTTGCCAGGTCCTGTCTCTCCAATACAGCTGCAGGAGCTGGTGTGGGGCTGGGGGAACTGCTATTCCTGGGCTTCCTGTGTCAGGGTGTTATGACACCATTGACAGCCCCCTGGCATGTGCTGACCTCTGTCACTTCCTCAGGGGCCTCCTGCCTGTCCCATTGGTGGATTGTCCCCTACAAGGATGGCAGAGAACTAGGGATAGAGAGAGGGCAGGTGGTCTAGTGATTTCTCAATTAGCCATCTACTTAAGAAATGCTTATGGACTGACTAAGCCTTTAAAATAGGACACAGAAGAGATAAAGGCAGACTGGTGAGCAGAGAGGTCAGATGAAGGGAAGCCAGTTAGATACCCAATGCCTTAGTTCCCTGGAAGACTGCACGGTCATGAGGGTCCTCCAGGGAACCATGCAGGGCCAGGAATGGCAGTGGGGACTAGTGGAGTTGGGAAGTTTCTGCACCAACCTGGGAACTTCAGACATGCAGCCGGAATGGTGGCAGAGCCTTGGAGGAGCTCTGGGACCAACCTGCTGGACCCAACAGACAGTAGTGGGGGTCGAGTAAGGGGCAGTGAGGGACCATGAAGGGTAAGAACACTGCGCCTTGGCCTTCACTCGTCCTGAGTGATGTGGGCTGCACGTGTCTAGAAGGCGGGGAGTCAGCTCTCTGAATTCCTTCCCCTCCGGCTTCTACCCACAGTGGTATTCTTAAGGACAGAGGACCAGGGACCCTGGGAGGGGGATGAACTACACCTGAGCCCCTGGACTTAGGTAGGAATTGCTAAGGAGGGAAGAGGCAGAGAGGAGGCGGGGCAGTACAGGGGACAGCCATGGTCCAGGTGGGATTCCCTAAAACGAAGATCAGCAATGCTGGTTGAGCCTCCCATATGGAAATGTGTGTGGTTCATTGACTCCCCCGACTCACCTTGGACCCCCAGGCCATGCTCCACATCTTGCCACGTCCCTCCGCAGCTTCCATCCCTCCCTGATGGCGATCAGTCATTACCATGACTGCCTGAAGGGGCAAGACAATCCCTGGGACTCCCCAGATCCAAAGTTTTCTTGTTCTCCCCCAGGAGAACATCTTTCACATGTGTGCCCAGTGGCTAGCCCAATGCCTGGCACGCAGTAGGTCCTTAATGCCTTGTCATTCATTCAAAATCAATTTCTCAAAAACCTCAGGGAGGACACAGGGCAGTGGTCACTGTTAGAGCATCACAGAATTTTGGTCATCCAGTTGGGACTGTCAGATGTGGACTTTGATTCTGGAGAGATCCTCACTTACCTTTCTGGCCATAGATTGCTAAGATGGGCGGTGATACAGGGACTGGATGGACAGGCTCACTAGGTACTGGCTGTAGGCTGGGGGGATGTCAGCGGTGAGGTCAGGACTCCCGTCTTCCAGACCCTAGGCCCGGTGCTCTCTAGCTCCCTGCCCCCTCCAAGACAGGGCCCTCGCCGAGGTCAGTGCTGCTAGGTGTCTCTTGACAGCCATCTGCCCTGCTCTGCAAAGGTCACAGACTAAGGGTGTTAGACATCACAGATGCCGTCAGAATCAGGCGATGTGCTAATTTGGCCGAAATGCTTTTATTGTTTGTTACAAGAAATAGTTTGCTGGGCAGGAGAGGGAACTGCTCAGTAGTAAAGGGGATATAAAGACAAAAAATCCTTCATTTTTTTAAGGTGTTTGGGCACATGGCAATTGCTGTCAACTTCGCTTAATTATCAGCAAGGTGGCTGAAGAGGGGGCTGGCCACAGAACTGGACCTGCTTTTTGAACCCCTCTTCCTTATCTTAGCAAGGAGGGCTGAGTCTCTGAGCTAAACCCTCTGTGGGGACTGGGCTGCCTGACTCAGGGGTGCTTGGTTTGGCTCGGTAGCACGACTGAAGAAGGGAGCTGAGAAGGGTGATAACTAGCGTGGGCCATGTTTCTGCACGTGAAGAAGGAGCTGAGGGCAGAAAAGGAGAGATTTTCCTTTTCAAATTAGAAGGTTGCATTTATTTCAGTCTAGATGTAGGGGGGTAGGGAGAAACGTCAGGGACAAATATAAACAAATGTTGAGTGTGTCCAGCACAGCAAAGACATGGCCTCCTTTCAGAAAAATATTTGCCCCAAGGGAAACAGAAGATGTGAGCCTCTCGCGGGCTCACAAAACTCTGGTAAACCGGACCTAACACGGGCATCTTGGAAGGATTTGGCAAACAAAGAATTATTCCCCTTCTGGTTTCAGTCGCTGAAGTAGACACAGGGCAGGGTGAAGGAGCACAGCTTGGGCTAGCACAGAGCACGGAGAATGGAGCAGACCTAGCAGGGGCAGCCATGTGGCCCTACCAGGAAACCCATCAGGTTCTGGGGCAAGGGACTGAATGAGACTTCAAACATCGGTGTTGGGTGGTCTGCCCCAAGCTGAGCAGACTGCCCCAAGGGCGTCCGTCCTCTTCTCCCTTTTGCCCAGGAAGACCACCCAGCAGAACAGAGGGAAGTCTTCACCAAGGGGCTGCTCCAGCCAGGGCAAATGGGCAAAGGGGCATTTCTGAGACCACGTGTGGCAGGTCTACAGCATTTTGGACAGGTCCCTAAACACAATGCTTTTAATAATGAACACGATTCACTTGTTCAAAGGAATAGCCACTGTTTAGGGGAACTTGGAAGCTTTGGGATTTCATGGAAGTCCAGGAAGCCTCAGGATTGGGATAGGAAAGGTTGTCATCAGAGAACTCGAGGGCTAAGCCTACAAAGAGGAGAGGTGAATCAGTCTGACCTGCTCCTACGCTGGTGCCCAGGGTATGGATACAGGCATCTATCCTCCCATTCTACTGAACTAGGAACACGACATTTACACAACAAATGAACACAAGTCAACATCTCAGATGGATGAACGGACTTCCTCTGGTAACCACTCTGCATGCTCAGAGACAGCAGCCTGCTGCTCGGCGAAACTCCCGGCCACCTGCCCTAGAAGGTGCTGGTGGAGGTGGTGAGCCGTCTTCCGATGTAGATCCTGAGGGAACAGGAAAGGACAGTTAGAGCCTGGCAGTCGATGACTGAATTAGGGGTTTGAGAAGACCCTGGAAATCGGTGATTTCCTGCTTCTCAAGCGCTGGCCTCCTCTCAAAGTACCCGGAGGGTGTGATGTCCAGGGCAGACATGATCACCTCTTTTTGTTTTTATTGATTTATTTTTGCGTGGGCCAACTGGGGTTAAGTGACTTGCGCAGGATCACACAGCTAGTGAGTGTTATGTGTCTGAGGCTGGATTTGAACTTGGGTCCTCCTGACTCTATCCACTGCATATCCTAGCTGCCCCATCATCTCTTTTTAGAGAGCAGAAAAGTGGCATGCCACTGAATCACGTTTCTGAGACTCCCAGCCCTTCCAGTTCTGGAAGATCTCGTGTCCGGGCCTGGAGCTCTTTCCTTTCCGTCCCCTGACACCCTAGAGCAGCCCTGGGCACACTTAACACCAACAGTCTGGTAAATCCCTCTTCAAAGTCTGCAGAGACACATTTTCTTGTTCTTTCAAACCACATCAGTCTGGTTCAGAAGCTATAAGACCAGTCAGGGATCACTGACGTTAACAGGAGCTTGACTTGAAACCATGATGAAAGCCCAGGCGGTGGGCTCTGGGAAGCTGCTTGTGGGTGAGGTGAGGGAGCCACAGAATCTCAAGCACCTTCAGACAAGCCTGAGGTACAGCACACGTCCACTGAGATGCCAAACGGGGCTACTGATGGCTCCCCATTTCCCCCATCTAACTCCCAGCCCCCTGATCTCTGGCCAGATTACTGCAGCTGCCTCTCCACAAGGGCCCTTCCTTCAAGTTCAGGCACAGGGCTACCTGGGTCATTCTCCTGCTCAATCCCAAGATGTAAACACCTCCCTCACCCATCTTTGCAGCCTCACTGAGCACAGGCTGCAATCCAGCCAAACTGTCCTACCCCTGGTTCCTCCATGTCTCTGAGCCAGCCATGCTCCATTGCAGGCATGCACTCCCTCCTCAATTCCACCGCAGACTCGCCACCCTTTCCGGATCCTTAGTCCCCCACTTCTGTTCCTTGACATTTACTTTGTATGCATTCTTACAAAGGTGGTGTTTCCTGTACTGCACAAGCTGGGGTGGTTTCATTTGGGGCATCTCAGCCTTGAGGACGTGGCAGCAGTGTGATGGGCAGCCCATCCCCCTCGGAAAGAATCCATGGTGGTGGGGAGATTTCCCTCACGCCCAGACTAATCTGACTCTTAGTTTCTACCTGCTGCCAAGGGTCTGCTCAGGGATCCCTTTTCTGTACAACAGCCCTAGAACATCCCTGAAGGCTCCTCCACCCCACCATCTCTCCCTCTCCACTGAGTCTCTTCTTTAGATGAACCTTCCCTAATTTCCTCACCTCTCCACACTGGCTGCCATCTTCTGGTTAATGTCCTCCCTGAGATATGGCCCCCGGACCTGAACTCAGTGCTGCAGATGTAGGCAGGCCAGCCAAAAGGCAGAGGACAGAGAGGCTTTACGGGTGAGGGGCTCCCCTAAAAGGAGCATATACCTGCCTCAGCTTTCTGGCTCCAGCTCAGCTGGTGGCTCACGCTGAGTGTGCAATGCTCTGAAACCCCCAGCTTCTGTCAGAAGGTCTGGTTTCTGGTTTCCACTCTCCCTGCTCCCCCCACCCAACCTGTACAGTCTTGGCATTGGTGACGTAAGGCCCTAAGTCCTATTCAATTTCATCTTTCCAGCCTGGCTTGACTGACATCCAGGGGACCACATGTCCCTCCCAATTCAGTCACCTGCAGATTTGGTGAGGACACTATCTATGCTTTTACTCAAGTCAGGAAAATAGCCCCAATGTGTGCTTAGCACAGGGCCTGACACACAGTAGGTACTTCATCTTTACTGACTGACAATCCTCTGCAAGCTTTCAAAAGGACCCCCACATTTTAATGACCATTCTTTGGGTTTATCCATTGAGCCATGCTTCAGCAATACTCTCGTAAAACTCAAATAGAAAGGCAGGCTGCATACTAAGAAAACCACAAATTAGCATCATCTATGTTGTACAGTATTTTTCTTTACTTTGTTAAGCATTTCCCAGTGACACTAATCTGGTGCAGGCCACATGTGGTCCAGCTCACTGCTCCACCCCATCCACCAGAATGGCAAAAGACCTTTGTCCAAGGCTTCCCAGGCAAACTGTCTGCCAGGTGAATAAACCTGTCAAAAACAGCAATGACCGTTTTGGCTGATGCCAGACTTGGTCACCGCGGATCAGCTTTCTAGAGGGTCACGACTTCCCTCTTCACATTTACCTTCCAGAACAGCGAGGGCAAGCGCATGGCCATTAAGCCACACAAGGAGCTCCATGGCGGGACGCGGCCAGTGGGAGGCATACTGACCTAGACACCGCATAGTAACATTATGTGTGTCCTGCTTCTAAATGGTATTTTTATTTATATTCTTAAACATCCCCCAGTTATGCTTTAATCTGGTTTCTGCCCCCCTTAGGAGTGCAGGCTGCACGTCTGATGGATCTGTTCTAGAATTCTGTCAGGAAGAGAAGTTTCTATCTAGAGGGGCAGATGGTTTTGTCCCAAGTTGTCTTCTGGAGTCCTGTGTGGCTGTCACAGTGCTGAAAAACGTGTGTCTCCACAGCATTGCTGTTACAGTATAAAGCATCCTCGTTATTCTGCTCGCTTCAGTGCACACCTGTCAGTCACCAAGGAGCACCTACTAAGTGCCTAGTGTGTGCCAGACCCTGTGCCAAGTGCCAGGGAAAAAAAGTGGGCACAAGCCAGTCTCTGCCCCGAGGAGCTTACACTGCAGTGGGTGACAATGAGCAAACAAACGTGTACAAACCAGCTGGGAGCAGGAGCAATGGGAAAGGACGAACGTAGGGACGGCCCTAAGAGGGGTTGGGAAAGACCGCCTATGGAAGATGGGATCTGCAGGAAACCAAGGGGCATCATGAGTATTTACGCAGCGCTTACTATGCACCAGGTTCTGTGCTTCACACAGCCTCACCACAGCCCTAGCAGGCATTTTACAGATGAGGAAAGTGAGGCAAAGAGCTGAAATGACTTGCCCAGGGTGACACAGTAAGTGTCTGAGATGAGATGTGAACTCAGGCCTTCCTGACTCCCAGTCCAGCACTCATAGATGGAGCATTCCAGAAATGGGGATCAGCCAAAAAAACTGCCCAGAGCCGGGAGATGGGGTGTCTTCTTTCCCTGAAACTCCCAGATGGCAGGTCATCAGCAGAGACTTGGGGGAAGCCAGGAGAGTTGTTGGGGACAAGAAGGGCATGTCCCAGGTATGGAGGATTCTACCTTTGAAACATCTCTCTGACTCCAGGCTTCCTGCCTTGCCCAGCTGAACCCCCCCCCCCCTTAGCAGCCCCTCCCTGCTAGTGCCTTTCCTCAGCCACTGTCTCCACAGTATGCGTGCAGAGCTGGTTTGCATCTTGTCTCCTTTCCGCTGGGAGCTCACTGATGGCAGCGACTGGGTCTTGGCCCAGAGCTCAGCACTGTTACATGTGGGCAGACACACGTAACAGATGCTTGTTCACCGCTCTAGACCAGTGTAGCCCCAGACTTACGAGACGCAGACAGAGGAGATTCAGGAACAGTCCATTTCCCACAAGACGCGGGTTTTGAAGGTCAAGATTTCCAAAACGCTTCTGTAATTACTAGATGAAAAAATGACTGCATTCCATTGTTACTTCCCCTGCCAAGTTTGGTGTAGATCAGATGGCCACCCAGGCCTTTTCTTCCTCTAAAATTCTGTGATTTTGTGATTCCATAAATATCACTAATTCTGAGCTCTCTGCCTCACTGCCCGACCTCTCTCCCACATTTTCATTTCTGTTAAGTGGAATGTTAAGTGAGGATGTCCAAGTCCCATTTTCTCTATGCATTTGTCCAGAAAACACTTTCTCTGGACACAGCAGCTCAGTTCTTGAGGCCACAAAGGCCGATGCCTTCTCCTGCCAGAGGCTCACCCGCATCCCAAGGCAGACACACCAAGACTGGAACACAAAGGCACTTACCCCAACCCAATGGCGAGGAAGTGAGAGAGCAGCAGGGATGGGAGGAAAACCTTCAAGAACTCTGCTGAGAAGATGCCCCCCTTCTTCATGACACTCGTGTTTCTCATGCTGAGAGTGGCTGAGCGCTTTGGGTGCTTAAAGAGAAACTCCCTGGGGCAAAAGGAAATGGGTGGTGAGGATGAGCGCTCCTGGAGTGAGGGCCCCTTCACCCCAACCCTCCCTCCTCTGCTCCCCCAAACCTCCCCCCTCCCTCCACCCCAGTCCCTCTTCTTCTGCTTCCCCAAAACCCCTCCCTCCACCCCCCTTCCTCCTCTGCCCCCCCAAACCCCCCTCCCTCTATTCCTCCAAACCCCCTCCCTCCTCTACTCCCCTAAACTCCCCCTCCCTCCACCCCAGTCTCCCTTCCTCTGCTTCCCCCCCTGCCCCCCACTTTTCCATCCACCATCAGTATGGCAGCACCCACACTCACTTTGGGGGGATGTTTTCGGGCCTGCTGGACCAGTCCCAGATCCAGTCTGAGTTCTTTTTCAGGATGCTCTCCACTTCTTTCCGTCTCTCCATGTAATCTTCTTCAGACTAAAACAAAGCAGAAGCTACTTGAAACCCAGGGGATGGGGGGGAGGGGCCCTTCCCCTCCAGACCCTCCCTCAGGGCAGTGGCCACATGGAGGCCCTCTATGCTGAGCTTTCTCGGCATTCAGAGCCTCATCTGCTTCCCGTGAGGTGAGGGAGGCCTTGCAGAAGGGCAACAGAGCAGCCTCCTGCTGGTGCTGGGCTGGATGTACTGATCGGCTCCTCACCAGATCACAGGAGGGCCAGTAGAGGGGATGCCCGCTGTGCAGATACAAGTGGAGCTGGATTCTGACACCCCTCCCAGCACAGAGGGTGGGGATTGGCCTTGAGGGGGGCCCTGCGTCTCTGCCCACCTGGAGCACATGCCCTGTCTTACACTGACCCTATCAGAGGATGAGAGCATGGCACCAGTAACAGACTGTGTGTGCGTGTTGTTTGTGGCCCTACAACCCAAGAGTAGTCAAAGCTGGCCACCAAGTCTGTGTGTGACTGTGCAGATTTCATGATTTTCTCCAGGGCCGCAGTGACCTTCTAGCAGAAGTCAAAGAATCACTTTAAAAATGGGGAAACTGAGACCTGGAGAGATCATAGGGCATGCCCACAGGGAATTAGGAAGCCAAGGTGGGATCTGCATCAGGTCTCCGAACTCACAAAACACACCCCTGCAGCCCAGGCAGATGAAGGAATACCCCCACGCCTTGACAGCAAGGAGCCATGCGGGCATTTCCTGCTTAGTGCTATTGATTTGTAAATAAACTTTTGTTCGTGAGCTTTGCGAATTCTCTCTCTGTACCTGACTGGTATCAATCCTAAAGTGACCTTGGGGCTTGGTCACAGCTACCCAAACACTACCCACCTGCTCACCTCCACTGCCAACAGAATCTGAGGGCCAGGGCAAAATCCTGTGCTTAGTGGGGCCCCTGTTCTCCGCATTGAGATGCCAGGTGGGACACTCCATTAGGGAAGAGCGACCCATCCCCCAGCATCTCCTCCATCAGGTGCTACCCTCGACACCCTCTGACACGCCCCCCCTTACCTGGGAGCTGTTCTTTTCTCCAATGCTGTGAGTATCTGTTTCACAAGTCCTGTTAATATCTTGGGGTGTCTGTGAACGAGGTGGGCTTGACAAAAGTAAGGGTTAGGGGCAAAGGGCAAAAATGTGCTGTTAGCATTCCTTTTTCAGAGAGCAAAGCTACAGATGAGTGATCTGACTAGTCCAAGTATGGAGACCCTTTCTGCTAAGCCAACCAGCCAGGCAGCTGGTTCTGCCCCGTCATCTGGGGCCCAACAGGACAAGTCTGATCCCCCTTCAGATAACTGAACCCGGCCCCCCTGTCCCTTTCTGTCCTTCGGATCCCCCTCATACAACATATCCTGGTCTCCTTCCTCTGCACCCCTCCAGTATATCTGTGGCCTTCCTGACCCATGGCGCCAGAACTGAACAGACCTCCCGGCGGGATGTGCGGTGAGCAGAGGGCTGTCCCCTGCCCTATTCCTGGAAGCTCAGTGTCTACAAACAAAGCCCTTTGGTTGTTCCTTCTCATTGGTGACTCCCATTAGATGTATATCCACTAAAACCTCAGTGTTTTTCAGACGACTGTTCACCCTGCCTCCTCCTACACTAACACGGAGCATTTATCCACATAGAATTCCATTTTCTCAGACTACTTCCAATGTTCTAGCTTTCATCCAGTGTTGGCTTTCCCTCCCGGCTTTCCGTTATCCATAGCCTTATTCATGGCATGGAAAAAAACATTAAGTGGCACAGATCCATGGGGCGCTCCACTGGAGACCTTCTGCCAAGCTGACAGGGAGCCACGAAGACATTCTTTGAGTCGTTCAACTCACCCAAACTGACTTTGTGGGCATTAGGCGTATACTTCAGTTGTAGGCTTAAGTTTACTTATGTTGTCTCTTGCTATAGGATGTATGATTCATCAAGGCAGAAAATGTCTCATTTTCTCTTTGGATCCCTGGTGTCTGGCACCCAGTAGGTGATTAATACATGCTTTTGGTCCATTTATTCCTGACCCCTTTCTTAGATTTTGCCTCCTGTGAACTTCTGGCTGTCCCCCAATGCAATTATTCTTTTTCCTTCATGGTAGTTTCTCCGCTTGGGGTCAGACTTAGTGGAGACATCTGGGCAGTCTTAGCTTTCTCCTGTCCTTTTGAGTTTGAAGACTTTTGGATGATATTTACAAGACACCAGGCAACTAACCCACGTTAGGTGTGCTCCATCCTTGGTCAGAATTCTATCATGCCGAGACTTAAAAACCCTGGGCCACAAGTCTATGTTCCTTTCTCAGGAGCCATCTCCATTGCGACCACTGAGAATGTCATATCATGGATACACACACCCAGCAAAGACAACAGGCATCTGTCTCTGTTGTCCTCCAGTTGGCTGACAGCTGCCTCAATGGCCCTGACCCATCACCATGGTCTTCTCTTCTTCCTCTGACTGTTACTAAAGGATCCCAGCTTCTTAGGACTTCTGGGGCTCTACATTATCATTCTTCCAAACATCAGCAGATAGATGCTTCCTTCTCAGAAGATTTGGCTCCCTCCTCTTCAAAAAGAGCCTCAAATTTGTATTTAGCTGCAAGTATAGAGTTGTCTTTTTCCTTCCCTTCTTCCCATGTGTGACAGTCTTTCTGACAAAGGTCAGGTTTCCCTTCCCCCACTTCAGATCCTTTTCCTCCCCTTGAAGCCCGGTTGTCACCATCTTTAAAGGAACATTTGAGTGCCCTGTTACGTGTGGAAATCACACCATGATCATGGGTTAAAGGAACTAGATTATGTTTATCCTGAAGAAGAAAAGATTCAGGAAAACAAGACATTTGTAAGCAAGTAGCTGAAAGCCCCTCCTAAGGAAAGTTCTTCTACTTGGACCAAATCATGGACAGGGCAAAAGAACCAAGTTATGCTCGATGTCAGAAAGAGCTCCCCCAAGGGAAGGGGGCCAACTTGGGAGGCGACAGAACCCACTGCTGGCTATGTGGTAGAAGAAATCTGGGCCAGATACCTCTGACAGTCAGAGGAGATCTCCAATTAACGGACTGCCCACAGTTCATAGGGAAATCATAAAATTCTCTTCTGAAGGCAAGAAGAGTGCCAGGGATTCAGCAAAAGTGTTCAAGAAGGTGCTTTTACACAAGACTGTAGAAATCTTCCAGTCCCATCAACTTACAGATTAAGGAAACTGAGGCCGAAAGGGAAGAAGGGCTTTGCCCAAAGTCACCTTTTCCCATGTGTCGGAGCTTGAATTGAAACTGGGTATTTTGGCTCCAAACCTGATCCCCGCCAGCCTCCTGTGACTTCCTTAGCTCCTACCAGCCCACACTGTCCCTCCTCCCAGGCCCGGCAGTGGAGTCTACTCCTGACTCTGGCCAATGAAGAAGGGAAGGGGAAGAAGCCCACCAATGGCAGCACCTCCCCCAACACACCCCTCAGGCAACAGAAGCCCACCCACGGCCAGGGGTCACCTACCTGTCACAGTGAGAGCTCTTGGAGCTGCTCCGTCCAGACTCGTGCTGCGCATCCAGAAGAATCTTTTCCATGTCGCCATTATAAGCGGAGATTGAGGCTGGCACAGCGCTATGGCCGTTGCCATTACTGCTGAAGTGCAGCTCTACCCAAGAGCCTGTGGGGACAAAGCCAGGGGCAAAGCTGAAGGACGCTGCCCAGCTGGCCCTCGCACATGCCACAAGGCAGAAGACCCACATGCAGCTAGAGCTTGGACATCGTCTCTGTGGCCTCAGCGGATCACAAAGCTACCAGAGCCTCAGTTTCCTCATCTGTAAAATGGAGATGCTACTGTGTATACATCCTGCCTCATGGGGTTGTGCTGAGGAAAGCACTCCATGTATTAACATCAAGTGTTATTGATATGGGAGTAATTAGTAACCCAGGGTTTTCTCCCAGAGCCCCAAGGGAAATGACAACAACAAATCTGGGGATTCAACAGAAGACAATTCCAGAGTCAGTGGGTTCTGGCCCTGTGCCCAGTCAGGCTCCTGTCTCCCGCCTTGCTCTGAACCTCGGTCAGCTTAGAGGCAACAGGCCCAAATCACGTCTGATTCTGCTTCTGCGGCTGCACAAGTGCCTTCCCCACTCTGGCCCCAGTGTCTTCCTCTATAGAGTGCATGGCCTCCCAGGCCTTCAGGATGCCCTGGATCCAGGGAGCTGGTCAGCTGTGCTTTGAGCTATCTGTGAAGGGCTCTCAGTCCAGAGCCTGCAATACAGCCGGCACTCAATGAATACTTATTCCCTTTGCCTCTTTGAGGCGTGGAGGTGGATGGAAGCTTTCAGTAGAGGAAGAAGCCCTGAAAGGGAAAGTATTGTCTGACATCTTGTAACTGCTTAGGAATGCGAGCCCAGATTTAGAGCCATCTCCACTCCCGATGGTCCTACGGACATTTGTGCCTGACCTGTGATAGAGCCTCCCGAGCTTGGATTGGTCCCATCAGCCACAAACGGACACACTGAATGTTGACATTGTGACGTCATTTTGGTCACCTTTTCAAATGTGCTGTAAGGGAGGATTTCTAGCCTTCCCCTAAATCCTGTTGCCCAAAGAACTAGTAGAAACAAAGCAAATGCCTGTAAATTGGGGAATGGGAACCAATGAAGAATTTAGAACACACACACACACACACACACACACACACTGCTATTATGGGGGGAAAGTCCCTAAGTTCTTGTGAGGTCTTTTCCTTAGGGGTTAATTGGATGAGAGATAGCACTCAGATATGCACAGCTTGAAGCCGGAAGTCATTGTCACCAAGCATGAACCATCCTGCTCGCCTTTCAGTGAGGCCAAGACACTGGCCTCTGCCACTTACCACTTGGGAGACCATGGGAGAATCCTTCACCTCTCTGGTCCTTGCTGTCCTCATCTAGAAAGGCAGGGCATTGGATCAGGTGGCCTAAGAGTCCCAGCAGGCTCGGACCCGAGGGCCAGACGCCTACGGGCTCAGCAAAGAGCTGGACCCTGTTTCCCCAGTGTTTCCTGCCAAGAGCAGCAGAAGCGGCCAGCACAGTAGCTGCCTCTGCCCAGAGTGAGTGGCCCTGCAAAGGGAGGGAGGCCAGGCACTTTGGGACAGCACAAGGAGCCCTTTGTCTCTAAATATGTTGTGTCTGTGAGAAAAAACCCAGCCAATGGCCCACGTCATTCAAAAAGCCTGGAAGATGGATAAGCAAACGATTATAGGCAAGATCCCCACTTGGCCCTTTATAATGCCCACACACATCCTTGAAGTCATGGCTAGTCTGAAACATTTCCCACGTTTGTCGTGCTATTCAGGAAAGGCCCAGACGTGGGGAAAACGTCCAAGGATGAGTCTGGCTTTCCAAATGAGCATCTCAGAATACAATGAGCAAGGAGGCACACACACAGACGCTCAGCAAACTGGAGCTTGGCCTCACGGGCAAGGGGCAGATTATTAAAGATGGGCACAAGGGAGGCACAGTCAGGATTTTTGCATACAGATCAACCCACCCAATTTTTCAACAAGTTTGGCAGGAGCACTGGTTCAGAGTTTAGAGGCCCTCGTACAAACTAGCCTGGTGCCTGCCTTCCTCACCTTGCACCTAGACTATGCAGTGGCCTGCTGGGGAGTCTACCTGCCCCTCGGTCCCTCCCCAAGTCTACTCATCTCTAAAATGGACCTTTCCTACAGGCAGGTCTGACTCATTCCCTCCTCTGTTAACTCCAATGGCTCCCCTATGTGCTCCACCAACAGGCCCCCTTCCAGCTTTCCAGTCTTATTACCCAGCATTCCATCCCTCAACACAACACTCTCACACACACTCACATACCACACTCACTCACTCTCATACTCACTCATACATATACACACTCTCACACATATACATACATACTCACTCATACACATATACACACACACTCTCATAACTCTCACTCACTCATATACACACACTCATACACACACACTCTCACATACACACACACACACACACACACACACACACACACACACACACTCTCTCCCTCTCAGTCCATCCCCATTAGCCTAATCACCATTCCTCACACAAAACAACCCTCGACTCCAGGCCCCAATTTCATTGGCTCTCCCTCCCTCCTCATTTCTACCTCCTGCCTTCAGGTCTCAGCTGGTCCTTCCTGGCGGCCCTCAAGGCAGCACCTTCCCTCTGCAGTGACCTCCAGTTTGCCCTCTACAGATCTCAATATCATCTCCCCATCAGACTGAGCTCCTTGAAGCTGCCGCTGCCTTTGGCTTTTTTTTTTTTTAATGCCCCATGCTCAGCACAGTTCTTGGCACACAGCAGTTATTTACTGAGCTTGCTGGCTTCACTTCTGAAGAATGCCTTTTCCCATCTTTTGATCACCCATCCATTAGATTCTAATGGGCCAATGGAGTCATGACCCACCATTTAAAAGCCCTGAATTAGAGAACAAATTCTGCATGGAAGACGATTCTGGTCCCCTCCCACAGGACATGAGGCATTCTGCGAGACAGGACAAGACAGGAAGGAGGAGGTGACTGGGAGGGAACATGGCAGAAGAGGCTCTCCTGTAGTGCACAGTTTGAAGGGTACTGTGTGGTCCCGAAGGGCAGAATGAGGAAGGCCGGGTAGAAGCTGCACAAGCCACCAACTTCAGATGGACACCTAGAAAAGCTTCCTAGGCCTGAAAGCCCTTCCCCCAGTGGAACAGCTGCTTGGGACACCTGGCTTCCTGACCATTGGAGGCTTCATGCAGAGGCTGCAGGATCCCGACTGGGGGCTTAACTAGCTACCCCAGGACGTACCTTCAAGGAAGGCTTTACATGAAGGTGGTACCCCCTTAGAAAATAAGCTCCCAGAGGACAGAACCCCCTTTGCTCTTCTTGGTCTCCTCGGTGACTGGTACAGTACAGTACTTGACACATAGCACAGGCTTCAGAAATGCTTGTTGACTAGCTGGGTTGAGGGTTTCAGGAAGGGGTTGGGCTAGGTGGTCCCTGAGATCCCTTCCAACTATAAAACATTTGTTGCATTTATTTATTTCTTGTGTCCCCCAGGAGAACAGAAGGGTCTGGAGGGCAGGGACTATTCTGGTCTTTGGAGCCCTGGTGCTGAACACACAGTCAACACTTAATAACCTGCTTTTTTTTTAATTGAACTAAGTTTTCAGAGTAAATAAACTATAAATTTAGAGCAAAAACCTGGAAACTGAGGATGCACAGAGATTGGAAACTAGCTAAACAAACTATAGTATATGAATGTAACTGAATATTATTGTGTGGTGGGAGTAAAAAGGTAGTCATTCTCACCCTCCCCTATCAACCTCTGAAAACCTAGAAAATATCACCCCAGAAATACAAAACCCTGGAACAGCTGAACTAGAAGAAAGAAGGGGGAACAGCAGTGCAGCAGCCCAGCAAATGGGTCTCCCAGAGCCTCAGCAAAAATAAGGGAAGCAGCACTAAAAAAGACCCGAAGCGGATAAGCGCCCTGCAGCATTCATCTGAACAGAGCTGAAGAAAACAACCTAGAGTCTTCCTAAAGTCCCAGCCTTGCTGATTCCAACCCAACACCAGGTAAGCTGTCAGAACCCTACAGCCTCCAACTGTCAACCAGGAGGAGATCCTGAAGCCCAGGTGGTAGAGCAGGCAAACACCAACACCTGGACCTCTGAGGGCCTCAGTGAAGGCAGGGGAACCAGTGGAAACCAGCTCAGAAAACTACCAGGTGCCTTGGCACTCTACCACAAAGGAATCTCCCAGTGCATTAGCAGAAACGAGGGAGGCAGGACTGCAAGGGGCCCCAGGCAGATAAACATCCTGCAGCACCCATCTAAAAGGAGCTGAAGAAAGCTAAAGCAAAGGAAAAGCAGGCAACCTAGAATTGCCTGAAAGTTCCAGCCTTGCTGATTCCAGCCCAACACGAGGTAAGCTGCCAAAACCCTACAGCCTTCAATTGCCAACATATGAGGCCCCAGAACACAAAGCCAGTGACCAAGACCTGGGCTCCCAACACAAGAAGCTTAGGTCAGTGCCCTCTGTTCCCCAGCAAGAGAGCTCAATCTCTTTAAAGGCCAGGGAATAAATAAACACCATGAATAAAAAGAAACGTACCATAGATTCATATTATGAGAAGAGTGAAGATCAAGACAGAAATTCTGAAGAGGACAACATTGTCAACAAACCCACACCTGCAACATCAAAAGGGAATATGAACTGGTCTGAAGCCCAAAAAAACCTTCTTAGAATAGCTCAAGAAGGATTTTAAAAGTCTAATGAGAGAGGTAGAAGAGTCCTTAAAAAATACAATTGGCCAACTGGAAAAAAAGTGCACTGAAGAAAACAAATCCCTTAAAAATACAATTGGCCAACTGAAGAAAAAAGTACAAAAACAGAAGAAAACAATCTGTTAAAACTAGAATTGGACAAATGAAAACTAATGACTCTATGAGAGAGCAAGAATCAGTCAAACAGAAACAAAAAAATGAAAAAATAGATGAAAACATAAAATACCTCATTGGTAAAACAACTGACCCAGAAAATCGATCCAGGAGAGACAATTTAAAAATCATTGAATTATCTGAAAATCATGATGAAAAAAAAAAGCCTGGACGGTATCTTTCAGGAAATCATAAAGGAAAACTGCCCAGAAGTC